TCCTTTTCTTTATGGCGGTCATTTTTGACCGGGAACACCATGGGTGTTACAAAGTTGACTAAATCATCCAAAATTCAATGAAAGGGGTGATCAGCAATTTGATAGGTTCTAATGTCTACTGTGAAGTATATCATAAAGCCTTAATGCAATCGAATGTAAAACAAAAAAGTTATGATTGATGAAAGTAGTAAATCGGTCAGATTTGACCCGAACACAACAGGAGGGCTAAGTGTTCTTTCCCCAGCTGCTAGGTAACATGACCTAATGTTTGTCTACTTTGAGATCAGTTACAGGTTGACAAAAGCCCCCGGGAAAGCCAGTAGATAATATACTATATTATTTTATAATATACTATATTATCTACTGTACCATACTATATTTGAATAATTTGTGTCACTTTTTGTACCAGCTCTAATTGCGATTAGATGTAAAAATGTATCTGGGTGCTACCATTTAACTGTCACCTGCATGTCACGTTGTACTATGCAATTTCCTTATATTTTGCAGCTTTGACAGATTTCAACGAACAACCGCCCCAACCTGGAAGATGGACAGATACCATAACCAATAGTATATTGTGTTTTCAGTAGCAGGCACCGCCTCTACATGACAGGCGTCAGCATCCGCCAATCAGCAGCCTAAGTATCGTACCTCCCACTCGGAGACGGATTTCCGAACCAAGTGTAGCAAAATCGCCTGTACTTTGTTTACGTCCCTTTGGTTAGCTGACAGTTGTTGTAGCGCTTTACTCACACACACAACCCTGACTGCATGGCTTTGCTGGTTGCCTCAAGCTTCATAAACTTTAAACCGAGTGTCCTGGATGTCCTGGATGTGATGTTTTGTTGAATGAGGGGGACCCGCTAGATGCCGACAGGAGGATGAACTCCATCACCGGTCGGGTTCTTGCCATCCCCGCCGCCTCTGTCACCAGCTCTGGGGCTTCATCCTCTCGAGCCTTACATGTAGAGCTGACATCCCAGCAGGTAAATGCAAAGCCTCTGAGATAATATTAACACGAAATGCATTAAATGAAACAGGACAACTGTGAGTATATGTCTTATATAGTAGTTTCCAACGTCAGTTACAACTGCTGCCTGGAAAACACGGCAGGCCTGTTAGGCTAGCTAGGTAGCTAGCAACTGCTAGCTTACAGTTAGCTAGCTTACTGGGAATTAATGTCACTTGATTTACAAGCCAAGGCACACCAACACAAGTTAGAATTGTTTTTAAGATCGACTTTCTACGTGTGTTGCCATATTTTAAGGAAACATATTATTCGACACGTTTAATTGTGTACGAAGCTAGTCTGCCAATGGGAACTTAACTTAGTGTTATGTCAGCACGCAGGTGACAGCTCAGTTAAAGGGAAACGGTGGCATGTGTCATCACTGCGAGGTTATATTTTCTAATACAGTTATTTCGATTATTAAAGTGTTATAAAAGTGAGACCATGAACACATTTAATTGTTGCCTCTTTGGAAGCTCAGGAAATTCATTTTACAACCATCAATCTAGCCATTCAGTCATTCATTCAGTCATTTGGAAATGACATGAGAACAGTAGGCAGTTCATTCATTAGGGCTACCGGCCTCAGATTGTTAAATCTACCCCTCACAGGCACCTCTCATTCCCTGTCATGTCAGTTGTAGTTAGATATTGACTGTAGTTGTTTTAGCTATCCAAGTTGTTGGATATTTTTCTTCATATTGTGCAGTTTTAAGAGCAAACCCCTGATCTTCATCCAGTGAGTCCAGCAACTACTTATAAGTGCTTCTTTGACTTTCTTGGAAGTTACTGTAATTACATCAGACCACTAGAGTCATCATTACTAATCCAATGATATTACAGTAGAGAACCCTTACAGTATGTTGCTCTACATGTACAGCCAAAGTGTAAACATAAGGTGACTTTTGGAAAGTCTAACTTATTTTTACAATAAGTCCTCTATTAAGTTTTGTCTTGCACCAGTGTTTGACTACCTTTTTAGTTTGCATTAGATTGACAATATGATAAAAATGCTTAATGTCAGTTTCAATTAAAAACTAAGTCAAGAGTTCAGAGTAAACCAAAGTTTACATATTGCATTTATTCCAGATTAAAATAGACACATTATCAACGGTAATCTTTGAAGATCTGACATGCCGTTTGAAGTGTTCAGACATGATTGTAGCTTTAACACAGGAACAGAAATCTTGCCACATTCCAACCACACTTTATTTTCAAGGATCAGTTCACCCCTATTACAATTTGCATGGTTTCTCTCTTACCTCGTGGTGTCTTGCCATTCAAATAGCTCCAATTTTGAGATTTGAAAATGGGACTGAATTTCCTGCAGCCACCACAACACAATGGAGAGTTGTGAATATTATAAAGGCATTAGGGTTTCTACAAGGCACTTCAGCATGAACATTTTGTTGATATGAGCAGCACTAAATCCTATTTCCCAGCAGCACTAAACCAACAATTGCACTGGTAAGGCACTGCGTGTTTCCCACAGATCTGAAATATACCTGGGCGGGGTTGAGGTGACGTGCAACAACATTAACATTAACCTTTCTGTTGGTCGCTTGTTAGCAGACCCTTCACGCGATGGCAGAGCGAACAGGTACAGGCAGGGCCCATAATGATAGCCCTATAGTTTAAATCTACTACCCACACATAAACATATGGAAATGAGTTACTAATACAAAAAAAAGATTATAAAAAAAAAAACGTATAAAAAAAAACTAAAAAACTAAATGGGTCGTGAAATATACTTGGGCGACCGTTAATATACCTGGGCGGCCCGCCCAAGTATAGTCTATGTGTCGGAAACCCTACATCAGCGTCTTTTCAGATGACATTAGATTTCTTGAATTGACCCTTCTCTGGCTACATAATAAAGCCTTGTCATGCTGGCCTATAGAAGCAGCATATCCACTGAAGGCTGAGCTCAGGGGAGATGTTTCATGTAGGAGTTTTGTTAGGGGGCTTGTGCCTTCTTTTCTTACGTCCTATGAAAACTGTGTGTGTTCATGATAAAAAACACAAGGCCACAAATGTGAAATGCAAACACAGTGCTTGCTCTAGATGTGTGGTCTCTGAACACATTTAAATGTCACAGCTTTGTTGACACAATACTTTTAGCTTTTGTGTAATAGAATTATATTTTGATTTAATTGAATACACTATTTTGGGATAAGAGTCTGTTATTTGTTATTCCCAACAGATACATTTATGGCATAATCGATGGTATGCAGCACATGTCATTTAAATATTGAATAAAATGCTCTTTTTTTGAAGCAAAAATGAAGAGTTTGCACTCCCAAATATTTCACTACTATTTGAAACATAATACATTTGTGTTATTTCCTATTGCATGTATCCATAACCAAAGAGCATGTAGAACACAGTTCTCTTTTGACTATGTGTATACCTTTTATGGCAGCCATGAAACCGTAACCCAGTTGCAAAAATCTTGCTTAGTCATTTAGCTTGTGCACTTTTTGTTGTTGTTGCACTTTGGCCAACTTGGTCACTCTTTGTTGAGACTATGCCACATTTGAAAATAAATTTGATCTTTATGTTGGAGAGCTTGAAAGTGCACATCATGTGATATATTAGCCATATATAGCATATATTATGCTCAATTCTCTATTTATTTACTACAGCCGTATGAAACAATGTTATATTATTGACACTAGACTAAATATTAGAATGCCAGTGAATAAAAGCATGCAGACTACACACCATAAAGTTTAGTCAAAACTTCTTCAATTCAGTTTGAACACATCTTCTCAACAAAGGTAGGCTTTTTTAAACTTCATTAGTTTTAGTGTAGTTTTAGTATGCATTTGTTGTCAGTTCTATCCATTTCAGGAATCCCCTTCCTGAGACTATTTTAAGAAAGAGTTTTGATCTAGCTTGCCCTGTAAGTGTGGTGTCTGTTCATTGTTAACATGAGCAGAAGGCTTGTGACTAGATGATCACTTTGCCACAGTAATCATTTAGTCACATACCCCCATCAGACATGTTCTGACATGTAGGGGACTAACGGGATGTTAGGATAATATGGACTCTGATATCAGGGTACTTTTGCTCTGCAGAGCCCAGCTCAGTAGTAGTTTCACAATATGTCCTCACAACCTTTTCTCTCTGCCTCCACATTAGCCCTTTCATTTTTGAAGAGGGGGGGTCAAAAGTCTCTTGTGGAACAATCTGAGTTTCTGTTGGTGAGGCCCTTAATCTTCGACAGGAGGGAGTCCCATGACTTGGATTTAGTCTCAGTATGGCTGCAGGACAGAATCTGTGACGTGTTTGCCTGAAGCCTGAACTTGCCAAATGCCAGATCTTTTTACTACAGATTTGAACCATTGCAGTGACCACTGCAAATACATTTGAAAAAGCTCGTCTTTGGATTCATATCCAAACGATGCAGACTTGTTTAGAGATTTACTAATGATTCATGATGATTTGTAGCTTTTAAAGTCTTTACTTGTCTTAACTGTGGTATGCTGTCTTCAACATTGTTTTTTGTGCTGTGTTCTGGAGCGCAGTTCTAAAAATGATGGCTTTTTCGGCATCTCTTTCATTCAGATGAATTCTTTGATTCTTTTGATCAGAATAATTGCAGTGCTAAAAATGTTGATACCCTTCTTATGACTCTCATGACTAACCATGCCTGCTGAGTTAACTGCCTACTTCTTTCTACCATGAAGATGTCATGCCTCTATTTTTTTAACTGCTGACATCGAGCAGACCAGACAGCACGCATGATCAATAACTGCTATTTTATGATGTTAATATACATATATATATACTTCTTTGATCTCTAAAGGCTGTGAACCAGTCTTCTGTGTCTTCAAAACAGCAGAGATAGTATTTGCCATCACACGATAAGAGTGAAACACTCTCTGTCTCTTTCTTACTTCTTTTCTAACAGAGGCGATTGCGTCATCTCCGGAGCATAGCGGCCCGGAACATTGTGAACAAGAATGGTTCCCCACTGCTGGACACTTACTTCACCCTGCATCTCTGTATAGGAGAGCGCATCTCTAGAGGTCAGTGTCCACCCCCTGTCCCTCCTCTCTGTGAGAGTTGGGGGCAACATCGCATCATGTACTACATCTTTCATATGCACACCATGTATGTTTCTCTTTGCCATGCTCTCTAAATAAGGAGAACCATGTCCTCCCCATATGAACAAAAGTAGCTACTACATGTTAAAAGAAAGGACAAATATGACAATCTGAATTGTTTGAAGTTTGTGATGCTTAAATAGAATGTTTATTATTTCAATTATTTTGTAAATAACATGTAGCATCTACGGCTGCACAACTATTTTACATTTCATCGAAATTGCAATATTCACAATATTTGTTAAAGTCTAAATACAAGTTACAATTCCATTTTGAATAAAGTATTGTCAGGCTGCAGAGACACTCCATCCTAAAAATTATAATCTACAGACTTTACAAAACATATTTGTTTACTACAGATCCTATTCAAGTTATTTTTGAAAAGGTCTCCTGCAACTCATGATGTCATCAGATGACACTTTATGGGGTGGTGCAGTGAGCGTGCTCCTTGGAAGTCTTTACAACATTTAAGGGTTATTCATTAAGAACATTTCCATATAATGCCATTAAGTCACTGTGTTTGGATCAAGATGACATTACCGTTACTGCCTTGTGTATCTGCTGACACTTTGCTTTCACATATTTAAGCTGAGCTGAGCTTTCAAATCAAGTGACATTTTATTTATATTGATCAATTAGACAAAATAAATTTGCCTCAGGGAGCTTTACAGTTTGTACATTTCAACAATCATTAATGACAGTAAAAACACAATAGAATTACAACATAGACAATCTACATCCACATTGCTTAAGGCGAGCTGAGCCAGCCCTAAGGGGTCTTCCTTCTGAACACACAGTGAGAGCTGGTTCCAGCAAGAGGCGATGGATAGCTCAAGGACATTGGAGACTCTAGGAACCACTCACACCCCTGCATTCTGCAAAAGCATTTAGTAGATTGTATTTCAGTGTAGATTGAACCTGTTTTGTTGTCCATGAGAGTTTTATACCTTCTTTTAACCAGCATTCTTTGATTTCTGTTTAGATTTTTACAAGAGTGAAGTCATACGAGACTCGCTGGTGAGTATACTAACTTAAACCTTTAAAGGTCCTATGTCATGCTTTTCTGGTTATTACCCATCCCCTTGTGTGTTATGTAGCTTTTTCTGCATGTAAACGGTCTGCAGAGTCACAAACCCTCAAAGAACACCCTGTAGGGAGTAAAACTCTAACACAGAGAGGCCTGTCTATGCTGCCCCAGAATGCCTCGTTGGACATTTCTCTTTTTCTTCCTGGGTACAGTGACGTGCCCATACCCAAATGGACCCATTGGTGGAGCCGATTACATTTGGACTAATCTGCGGACTTCCTCACACACACACACTCAATCTTTTCTCAGCTGCGGCTCCGCCCATTTCTCCTCCCTGAGACGGCGGGATGCGGCGAGGCTGTGAGTCTGTGTGTGAGCACACACACAGACTCACAAACTCCCTGTGTGTGTGTGTGTGTGTGTGTGTGTGTGTGTGTGTGTGTGTGTGTGTGTGTGTGTGTGTGTGTGTGTGTGTCTCGGGTTTCGCTGTGTCTCGCAGGCGGCCACTAGGCTCATGGAGGGGGGGGGGGGGCAGGAGCTCCAACAAGCCGTGTCGGACAGAGAGTGAATAGAGATGCTGTATGAGAAACCAATGTGAGTTTGGAACATTGAACAATGTAAATCTATTCTACTAGACCTCAACAATGGAATTATGATCAGTAGCAATGGCCATGACATGGGACCTTTAAAGTATTCATGTCTGCCCCTGGGCAAGGATCAGGATGATGTCATTAGCTGCAGCCTGGTCATTATACGCATCACTACCATGACTGAAGACTTCCTGTATTTTACTGACGCCAAGGCTGGCATTTATACCTGCTGCCTTTCTGCAGGTCACGCTTTGATTCACCTCTGGACTTGTGCTTTTGCTATATTCTTTCTTAAACTGGTTTTCAAACATCAGTACACTAAAATGCATGAAACAGTCTTGCAACAGAAACGGAATGGTATATGTGCCGTTCACTTACGCAACGGTGTCTGCTGGTGTGTAAGTGGTGTGATTCTTTGTCTGTTACTTCTCTTATTTGCTTGCCAATGCAGTTCTGCACAAATCTATAGAAGCTGCCAAGCAGAGCAAGCTGTAAATGTTGGGCTTGCTGCCGAGTCATGAGCTGACCTAAGCTGCTTTCCAGGCATACTTTGAGTTTCCTCTGCAGACAGATTGTGTGTAAGGCGCTGCAGGAGTCATGACTCCTGTCATTTCTCCCCCAGCTTCCTCCAGTTCAATTTAACATCCTTGTCATCACTTCCCGTCTTCCTGTTTTTATTCCAACTGCTATGCCCCTTTTTCTTCCGCTACTCACTCTCACTAGTTCTGTTTTCTACCCCCCCTCCACCATGTGAATTGTACTTCTGCTTTTGACATTCCCTCCTTTCCAGCCTGTCCTTGAAAGTGACCCGAGGAGCAGGAGATTATGTCTCTGATGAAGGGAAATGGTACATAATTGAATGATGTAAATGGCTACAGTTCCTCGTAGAAGCAGTACTTAGTGCTGTCAGCTTCGAAGTTCAAGGACAGAATAGTAACTGTAGTTGGGCTCAGACATTAAGATTAATGTAGAACAGGATGATTACATTACTTAAATTGTAAAGGGATCCTTTAGGATATTGAATTTGACAGCGGTACCCCGCACTTGATTTCAGGTTTTAATTCAAACTCTTCACATTCAAAGTGATTTGTATTGTCTTTAACTGCCTGGATCAACAGTAGCTTAGTTGAAATGTACTGCCAATCCTCACGTGTGTGTTTATATGTGTGTTTGCCAGAATCCAACTTGGCGCAGCCTGGACTTTGGCATGCTGCCGGACCTTCTGGACACCTCAGTGTCTTGCTTCGTGGTGCGGATCTGGGGAGGACAAGAGGAACAGTTCCAACTCCTCATAGAATGGAAGGTCAATCTGGATGGCCTCAGATACACAGGACAGCAGGTCAGCAACATGCACATGGAAAGGATAACAGTAGAAGCTATTTGTATAATATTCCATTTAGCCAAAAGGTTCCCTGTGTGATCTGTGCACAGGCTGCAAAGAGATACATACAGAAGTGGTGTGAGCATGACTTACAGCTGCCATTTGTACATATGGTCTTTAAGGCACGTGAAGGATAGTGTGCACAAGTAGTTGTTTTACTATCTACAAATATATTTGAAATCAAACACACAAGTTGCATATTTTTTTAACACAATTTTACAACTGAATTTTCTCAGTTTTGAAAACAGAGTTTCAACACAGAACTTTATTCTTTACATTTTGGCCTTGGGATCAATTCTATCAAATGAGGTACATCAAGCTCTGAGTTTTGCCTTTTTACTTGACTAAATCAAACCAAAGCAGAGTCTGCCGTTCATTTCTTGAAGATGATGTGAATGGCAATTAGGAAAAACCTTGCAACTCATGCAAGAGTCAATACTTCAAATGAGGTAGAGTAATATATAAAAACATGCATTTGATGTATGCAATGATCTGCTTTACTTTGATGCGATGCAGTCAAAAGTTTGACCCTTCAGTAAATCCCATATTCTCAAAAGCATCTATTCACTTGTTCTGTTCTGTATTAAATACACAGTTTGTTTTTGTTAAAAAAAAAAATACTTGTTTCACTCACTTCAAAACATTACGCTGATACAGTACGTGGGTAAATATTTGACATAACTGTAAATAACCATTTCAACCACTGTATCAAACACATTGCAATAGGTTCACTGTCATCAAAATGGAATGTATTGAATTACTTTCTTTCCCCCCTTTATACATCAAATGAAAAGTGTAGCAGATGAGGTCAAGTTGCAATATTAGGGTGACGATGTTAGAATAAGATCAACGTGTTTGCACTTTGTGATCTCTATGCTCTATGAGCAGTAAAACGTGTGCTGATGTGGAATGTGTGAGGACTGAAAAACAAGCACTTTGAATTGAGACTTTTTCACCCTGAAACTCTCATTCTTAAAATCAAACTAAGCTATTGCAAACTCACTTTAAAAAACTCTGTTACTGTCATTCTTTCGCAGTGAGACTAGTTTCAACGCTCGTAAACAGATAGCTCAGTCTCACACTCAGCCAGATGCCCGCTGTCCTTTGTTCTCTGGTCTCAGTCCCTGCAATGAGCCTCTTCTGCCTCGCTTTGTCCACAGATTCGATCCAGGAATCCAAATGAGATCATATTTGGATTGAATGATGGCTACTATGCAGCTGACTTTGATCATAAGGTACAGCCTTTTGTCAATTATTCCGAGCTTCTGCCTTTATAATGGGATACCCAGCCCTAATCTTATTAGCTTTAATCGCTCGCTGTTTGGCCTTCTGCACTGAAACTCTCCCATGTGGCTGTTCCAGGATCAGTCGGAGCGGAAGAAAAACAGCCTGCTTCAGGTCGACCTGAGTTCAGTCCGGAACTCCTACAGCGTTTTCTCTTTACTCAGGTAAGAGTCATGCCATGTAGCAGTATGACATCATGTTTCATCGTCATTTGATCATCTTTTTGAATCTATACACCCAACATCCATTACACGTCTGTGTGCCTGGGAGAAGGATCCTCCTTTTTGCTCTCCCCTACCTTCAAACGTAGGTCTAAGGACAGAGGGTGTGCAGGGTATGCTGCATACACTGTAGCCCTCTGTGACACATGTGTACTTTGTGATATTGGGCAATGGATTGCTTGATTTCCTATCACATCATTAGGATTCCTTTTTCAGAATGCAGCAACCTTTCCTCAGTCAATTTTTTGGGGAAAAAACATGCTTTACATTTTAAACCAAACGTTTTTTATTTATTTTTTTATGCGTAGTTGGTCATGTGATTATACTAACTCCTATTATGTGTATTTAATGTATTTTCTTTAGCAATTATATTCCAGCAGATGGTGCCACAGGGAAGCCCAGTTTGTTATTCTTCATCAGAAAAGCTCTCACAGGCACCAACTTTTATTTAAAGTCACCTAGTCTTTAGTATAGACTTTATTTGTTCGGCATGATGAGTCAAGTATACGGATCTTTTTAAACAGCACATCTTTATAAAGGCACCTTGTCATCAGGCCAGTGTCAGACTTGGGATTCTGATTTGATTTTAAAGTACACTCTGTTGAATGTGAGAAACAGCTGCAATACAAGGGGGAGACAAAGGTTTGCTGAGCAAGTAGCTTGCAGAAGGGGAACCCTGGTGCAGTAATTAAGAACTTTAGACAACACAAGGCACTTCTGACATCTGTTGACAAACATGGCCGTGTTGTTCCGCATTTAGATTTAAACGTGGAACAACGTAAATACCACTTTCAACATCCTCAGGGCTTCCCCAGAGGGAAACCCTGTTAAAATACCCCCAGCACTTAAAAACTAAATTAAACCTGGTTTTAACTGAATCAATGTAATCTAGACGCTTTGATTGGACGTTTCCAAAATAAGATCAAGGTCCTGTCATTAAGAGGCTTTCCACTGAGATGTTCCTACTATAAGAATGACATAGGGGGACATAAATGCATCGCAGGCCTTTACACCCAGAAAAATGAGTTTTGCCAAAGCCAGCTGAACTTAAACAGTCCCAGTTTGAATCATAACTTTTATGACCTCTGCTCTCGCTTCTTTTATTATTGCAGCTTTCTTCCACATCCTCTTCTTCTATCCACACCCAGTGGGACTCTGTGGAGTTTAACACAGTTACATTGATCCCCTCTTCCCACACACTGCTCTGCCTGCAGCTCCTCACCCCTGTCACTGTTTCTCCTTGGCTTGGTGCACTCATATGCACATGTTTTATGATTAGGTAGTGTAGAATGATTCATCAGATATTGTACACTCCAACAGGGATTATCCTACCACCCCCCATAGTACATAACCATACATACCACTCAGCCTCTGCCCCGCAGAGAGCTTCCCGTTTCAAAGTGCATTTACTTACTGGATGATTCAGGCGAAGGGACGCTCATGTGTTGTGTCATTGGCTCAACTTCGTGGTTGCATGTTTTCGTGAATGATGAAGGATTTTTCATCATGTAATCGGGTGAAAAGTGTTATTCTCCTTAGGTCATCTCATTGTTATTGTGCCTCTTTTGGACTATTTATGTATTTTTGATGCATGTCCTCCCAACTGTCTCCCACTGTGTTTTAATGAAAAAGGATAAAGGCAGCTTTGCTAAGAATGCGCTTGTCTTGATTAATGATGGTAATTTGTCAGCGGATTCACAGTCTGCTTTTCAGCCCCGGCTTTAAAAGACCCACAGTCTGTGTGAGTAACGTGGTGATGTGGGCGAGCAAACACAACACATCTCAGATGGAGAGATGAAGAGGGAGAGCACAGATCATCAATCAGCAAAGTGTTGTCTCTTACAGGCCTAGATAGAGCCAGAGCCTAAATAGAGCTAGGCCCCTTTCTGGGTAGAAAGAAAGAAAGTAGACGGTGACGGACGAAGATTATCCAGCTGTTGAACAAGATTTGATGTAGACACTATTAAAAGGTTCCTCTGAACTACCAGTAAAATGTTTGATGTTTGAGAAACAGAGAAACAACGACTTTAATCACATAACTGAGCTTCAAAAAAAGAGTTGACATTTCAATTCAAACCTAGAGAAATCCCTCATTTCAAGGGAAGTCAATTTCAAGCTCATTTCTGGAAACGGTCCTTTTCATTTGGTTGAATGTAATGCATACCCTTTGAAAAGTGTCTGCACTGTTGTTACATCAGTCACAAAATGACCTTTAACCCATTTTAGCCCACATTTTTAAATATTGGTTGTTTTAACTATATACTTGAACAGGATTGATACTTTGGAGGTGGTGCAACATAGAGTCCCCCATGTTGCACCACCATGTTTCTACAATATCTTGTTGAAAGCTAAACTACACTCTGGCTCTAGCCCTTTCAAAACACCCAAAGGGCATGCAGCTCTGGACATTTCTATAAAACTGGTAACGCTAGCCATCTCCTGAATTGTGCGTTTCCTAAACTTGTGTTATGGTAAAAATGACCCTAACTGAGGCTAAGTTCCTTAACGATACGACAGCATTACCACAGTGTGGCACTTGGCAGCTTGTTACTGCAGTTTTGTAAAGGTAGGGGTTAGTCGAGGGTTCCTCAGTTGTTTGCCATCTGTAACGCAACGCTGGCACTAGGTCCTACACACTGTCCCTTTTTAACATGCAATTGCTTTATGCACTTTAAGCTGTTTTTGAAGTCGAGACCTCCGGTGATCATTTTGCTCCTATATATATTTCATGATACTCGATATTAAGTTATAAGAGTGAGAAAACTGAGCAAATATTAGCAGTTAGCTCCAGCTCTTCCAGTACTACTTCGTCCCCATAGAATTAGAAACACTTCTTTCTACTGTTATTGAATCACTGGCTCGGCTTTCTTTTGGAGAGGAAGAGACCTGTATGGATCAACTGCTTCCTGAATGATAAGCAATGAAGAAATCCGAACAGCCAATAGCTGGTTGAAGAGATACAAATGGTGGTGAAGACTTCAACTCCCAGGTTCTCACCCTACGTTACCAAATGACACCCCTTTTGTTTTTTCTTCTTGGCTGAGAGATGGTTAGTGGCAGAAACTTACTAATTGTATGCTTGAAAGTAATTTTTTTAATGGCATTATAGCCTTGTAGATGCTCAATGTTAATACGTTTTGGTCTATTCTACTAATGGCTCATGTGACACATTCTAAACATTGTTCTTTGGGCACAACTTTCACAGTTCAGAACTGTGACCTTGCAGATTAAACCTGTCAAACACTTCTGGAGCCTAAAGGGGAAACGTTCTTTTCCACCCTTGATCAGAGCCATATGTTTTCGTGTTTCCTGATTTCCTTTTGTATGCTCCAATGTGAAGTATGAAAGTACTGTACGTACGAGTCAACAGGAGCAGGGCACCGTGCTGATGGAGCTCTGTGGGGGGTCTATCGTGCCACAGAGGCTACTGGGTTGATAATGCCTCCCTGCAGGCACTCCTCAGACCTACTGGCCCGCTGGTTGGATGCTGAGCCTCTCAGCCATACGATGCTGGTGTGATCCTGTGTAACCAGGCAGCTGTATGTGTGAGTCTCTGCTGACCATGGGGACTCCACCAGCAGCTACCAGACTGCAGAAACAAACGCACCGTCTGAGCTCTAAATCACTGTGAAGAAATGGATGTGGAGGCTTTGTGTTTTCATTTCACACCTCTGGAGGGGATTTAGGCACAATCAAAGCCTTCCCCATTTACTTAATTTAAGGAGGTTTAAGGTTGTTTTTTCAGTTTAGGCTGTAGGCCTGCAACACCCCTTCTATTATTTGCTCAACTGTCTACCTCCCAAATGTTTTTTACACATATGATTCTATCTGAGATTTTCTTCTATTTAGGCTCATGCTTTTCCCCCCAACTTTTCCACCTTCCATTATCACTAACGGCCCGTCCACACTACAGCTTCGACAGCTTCAAAAACGGTTTCCAACGCGTCTGCCCATTCACTTTGAATGGGGTGACGTCACGTTGCCTCGCTTTTCGCCGAACTGAATTGTGGCAGAGCGGAGCTTTCCTGGCGTTTCAGGCTGCAAAAGTTGAACAATGTTCAACTTCTGAAGCCGGAGACGCCGGAGTAGCCAGCGTCAGCCAATCAAATCCCGTTTATGCAAATCTGACAGTTCAAGCGCTAGCCAATCAAACCGCGTGCAAGCTGGGAGAGCCAGACCGCAGTTCATTTCCTCATATTCCAAACGAGAAATTACGGTAGCAAATCACCCGGTTCTTTACGACCAGAACTATTTACTGGGATACAAACCGGAGGAACCAGGCATGGAGGGAGGTGGCAGAGACAGTGGGTGAAACTGGTAGGTTTTCGCCTGTTTGGGGAGTTTATATATATATATATATTGCTCGCATAAAATCCCCGGGGTTTTTTGCTTTGTATGCCGGGGGCGGGACATTCATGTGATTGGTTGTTGGTCGCGGTGCTCGAATAAAATCCCCAAGCTTCAGACACGCCCAGCTCCAAGCTTTTTTTGAAGCTGTAGTGTGGATGGGCCGTAACTGCACACGTCTCTTCTTTTTCTCTCACTTTCTAGTGCGTTTTGCTTGTGCTTTTTAGTGCTTGCCTTGCAGTGCTCTTTTTTGTTGTCATAGCTTGTGTATGTAGTGTTCATTACACATTCAAACAAAAAAATACTAAGCTTTATCCTATTAGTATTTTCTGGCTTCTAAAAGTAAATACACTAGGCTTTACATGATATACATCTACCTATTGGGTCATATTTGGCTTACTCCACAAGGCAGCTTCAGTAACCACGACTAACAGTTTGAGATTCCTTGTGTAAGTCAAAGGACAAAAGAGCTTCAACTCACGACTAGAAATCCAAACTTCTATAATTATCTCCAGTGTGTGACCCTTTTAGGACCAACAATATCTTCCTTGAAGATCTCTTCAGCTTCTTTGAAACTCTATTGTAGTTTTCATGTAAACATAGCTTATAGCAACTCAGCAGAACCCCACAAAATGCCTGGAGGAATAGAAGCGCATAAGAGCCATCAGCCGTTGAGTTTGAACCAATTGATTAATTCAGCTGATATTTAAAGCAACTTTTTCCGAAGATACTGTATGTGCATTATTGCATGGCGGGATTTTGGATTCCATTTATTTGGAACGAAAAGCTCTGCAGTCATACAAAAGAAGATGGGAAGGTTTGACGTAACTACCTTTTAGTGTTGTGAACATTTCAACCACTCAAATATTCTGTGCTACATAACGCCTCCCTGATGTTTTTGCCTTTTTTTCTCGCCAAGAAGAACAGCAGTCTTCCTTGGTGTCCTCTTCACCTCCCAGGTCTTTCTGTGGCTTATCTGCGTGAGCCAGATGACACAACTGCATTTGCTGATTCATTCGCTGTCTTGATTTGAAAATAGCAGATGCTGGACCACAACACACTGTGTAAACCGTGGTAAATATTTATTTCAAGATAATCAGTAAAGGTAAATGAACAGAAAACAGAAGACCTTGCTCAGAGCGGCTGCCAAGGCTGTTGCCTCCAAAAGCACTGAAAGCGCTGTGAACAATTGAAATTCAAAGGTCTTTAGTTCAATCTATTTGTATTGAATTTATTGTAAATCGTTATATTTACTTAGCTTTGTGGTTAAACTACACCTAAAAGCCCCTATTAGAAATGTCCAAGATGCCTTCTTTTTATCAAATAATCTTTCCTCTGACACCCCTGCAGCTTCCAGTGCCACGGTTAAAGGAGAACATGTAATTGTTTTTCTGATGTTTATCGGCATTATGGGTTGAGTGCACAGGCTCAGCCATAACTTCCTGTGGCAGAGTGACCTTGAATGCCTTAGAAAAGGAAAGTTGTCTCGGCTTTTGACAAAGAGTTTTCCGGACAGTTTCCCAGCGATGAAGCTGCTGCTCCAATGTGGCTGTGCAGTGGGACCTCCCTGACTCCTGGGCAGGTGTTAGGCCACGACCAAGGGAATGATAAGGAGGCAGACATGCCTGAAAAGGAGGGAGGACATAACTATTCTCACCTGAGGGAAAAGACCATATCAGATTCTCCTATCGCAATCACCTAAACAGATGAAGCTGTCAAAACAGATCGGCCCTGATGTTCCGAAGGACTATCTCCAACTGCCATCACTGTCACCTGACACAGATCATTTTTGTTGGCAGAAAATAGGCAATGCATTTCCTGTAAGGCCCCTCCCCAAAGCTGCATTTACATCGTGATAGATGTATGTCTATGTTCAGGCTGGTTGCCTGCAAGAAGCAATAATATCCACCAGGTGACTCTACAAGTTTCAAAACAAAAACCCCCGTAGGATTTGTAAAATGACCCCACCGAGCTGGAAGCCTGTTAAACCCTCTGAATTTCTTGAAGACTCAAAGCAAGTGCATACCAAAGGAACATCCTGTTCACATCACCTTCATGACCCACTTTGTAAGTGCTAACAACAAATAATTAAAACATGATGGAAACCCCTACTCCTAATAAACGGGTGCAGTATCTTCCTTTCTGAACCTATTAGAGCCACAATCAAGTTTATTGCCAGGTACGTTCACACATACAAGGAATTTGCTTTTGTGTATGTTGTTGCAAACATACACACAGTGGGTCAAAAATATAACCATAAAAAAAAGAAAATTATTTACTCCAAATTTCAATTTAAATATACAAAAGAACCTAAAAAGCTAAACAACTTAGGACAATGAATATATGACAAGCTACAGTGTATTATATTTGAAGGTGTGTGCTGTGCAGAAATGTGTGAAGAAATGTGCAAAATATATTCGGAGAGACGAACATGAACATGACTTACAGTATTATTTTCAGAACTTGCAATTGCATCTGCAAACAATGCTGAGAGAGAAACACTAGAGGCTATCGAAGAGCTGCTGATCTGGTTGTATCATTCCTGTCAAATGTGAATGTAGATATATGCACACCTTGATATATGGAAGGACGCTTATAAGAGGATTCATTGCCAATTAAGTGCAAACAATGAAATGTTACGTTTAAAAATGTGGGAATGGTATGTCAAAATGTGCACAAATCTCACATCACATTCATGGAATGGCAAAAGGGGTGGGATGGACTGGACAAGGGACCAAGGGAAGTGTCATCTTGTGAAGATGCCTTAAAATAATAGGTTAAAATCTGTTCACATAGGAGGGGAGAAACATGCTAACAAGAGCTAATCACGTCTTTATCTAAGAATTCCAATAGTTGAGCAATTCATCAAGACAGAAAAGTGCATTACTTTGCAATGGTACTTTCATGGCACATTGAGACATTTAGCAAGAAGTGGAAGATCTAACAGCACGCTGACAGTTTGAGAGCTTATGGCCATTCCCTCCTTTTGTCTGTCCTCTGTAACTCATTACCGTGATGTGGGATTGTTGTCTGTAGTGTTGTTGGAGTCCCATGGGTTATGTTGAGGAGGTTTGTCTTTTCTTTGGGCTTAGGACTTGAGAAAAACTCAGTGAATTCCGACCCTGATTAATGGTCTAAAAAAATAATAGGTTTGCTTGTCATTTGTGTCCTGATGTTGCTGTTCCATATTTCAGTGGAGACAGTATCAGGGGATTTGGAATATGGCCTCTGTCTCTGTGGTTTCAATAAATGATTAGTCCTTTTTGAAGGTTGTTTTCCTTTCCTGGGACTGATGGGTTCAGGTCTATTGGGCAACGTTTGATGTCATATAGTGGTTAGATGATTAGAACAAAATAGTGTTTAAAATGTTGAACTTTGTTGTTTTAGGGTCTGGTCAAACAAGCTGTGGACTAATATTACTTGTCTTGGTTTTATTTTTCTCTTTTGTTTAATGTTTAGCTCGTCATTCATTTTTACAGTTCAGGAAGAAGATCAACCCAAGTAAACAAGAAAAAACAAAGACTCCTACACATGGGGACAATCATAATTCGGAAGAATCTTTCCAAACAGTCAGTGTAATTGCTGCTTTAGTCATAACACTGACGCATCCTGTCAATTCAGTGGCCTCTCAAAAAAACAGTTTCAACATGCGGTTGTTGGTGTGGTCCAGTGTGTGGTTCCAAACAATGATCTGCATGGTGACTTTTTCTCCCTCTATTCCTGCAGGCTTCACACAGCACAGAGAGCCATCAAACAGACCCAAGTGACAGTGCAGAGGATTGGGAAGGAGATCGAGGAAAAGCTGAGGACGACGGCAACATGCACAGAGCGGGTGAGCCCAACCATCCCCAGCTAAATTCCAACTCATCAGCATCTTACCTTTAAATCAGCAGCAGTGTTTAGGCCACTTATTTACTCATTTCCAGCTTTGGGCAGCTATTGTATCCTTCTGTTTTGACTGCTCGACAGAAGGTGGAGAGACCATTATCCCTCCTGCCTTAAGGATCACACTTTGACCAGAATCCACTGTTTATGTTTCCATCTCCTGTCATATCCTCCAACGGATCCACTACAAAAGCAAGAAAGCATATTTAACATTGTTGGAATTGGCAGCCGCACAGCTGTGAAAACGGAGCACTGATCCCAGGTTTGACGTAGTGTTTATTGTAAACATTCACTTCAAAAGCATCCCGTCTCTTCTGCTGTTATAAAAGCCCCCAGGCAGTGACACTTGGGTGCTTTTATCCTCCAGGTAGACTTGCCTTCAGAGGAAAGCACAGCTGGGATCTTTTTGTGGCCACACAGTGTTTAAATCTACAGCAGAGTGTGTGCTGCATATGTGCTTTTGCACAGATACCACATTTACAGGTTTAGTTCCCCTGTAGACTGCCTTAGACATCTGTTACAGCTGTTGCCTTCCATCATGCTCTCATCGGCTTTTGATATGGCTCCTTTTTTTTGTTCCTCACCCAGACCTTCACCCTACCTATTAAAACAGCTCCACTAAAGCCTTTTCAAGCCTCCCCGCAAAAACATTGAGGCTCCATTCTTTTGCCACAAAGGATCCCTTTCAAAAACTTGTCTCTGATATTTCCCCCTCATTGAGACATTCCTCAAAACCCTTTTCAGAGCTCACATCAGCTAATAAATCACATAATCCTCGTCCTCCACCTTTTCCGTTCAAGAAACCCGGGCGAGAGTGAGTGGAGCATTGTGTTGCTCTTCTAAGGGTTTCTCTCTCTGCCTTTGGAGAGCTCAGAGCTATCCTTCTGTGCACGTCATAGTGAGCGTGGATCAAAGGGGGGACAGAGTGGAGGCCACCAGCCCCAGCACAAGGCCCTTTCACCCTCTCACCCACGCTCTGCCATTAATCTGTGGGTTATATCATGCTCCCCCCACGCCTGCTGCTTATTTACTCAGCTGACCCAGTACTGTTTGATGTTCTGGAGGAGTCAGATGGGCCCTGGTGGTCGGTCACAGTCTCAAACACACACACAACTATGTTGCTGAGTGAAAGTGTAGGAGGCTCCTGGTTCGTGCAAAAGCCATTGGCGGTTAACATGCGAGCATGGAGAGCGACACATTAGAGATGGAGGCTCTATCTGTCTTCTTTCTCCTCGCGACTGATACGCCTCTCTGTGTTCACTGCAAAGCCCTCAGAAGTCTTCATGAAGAAGCATATCTGTGTTTCGTCTGATCCAGAACACGATCACGATCTCTGTCTGTCTGTCTGTCTGTCTGTGTGTGTGTGTGTGTGTGTGTGTGTGTGTGTGTGTGTGTGTGTGTGTGTGTGTGTGTGTGTGTGTGTGTGTGTGTGTGTGTGTGTGTCGGCCTGTAGAACGTCGCACAACCGTCCGGACTCTCACATCCTCTGTCCACTAAATCCGTAAAGACTTCAATAACACGCGAACCAGAAACAACCTACCCTACCCCGTATAATTTAACAGGTATCGGCACTAACCGGTCCCACCGAAGTCTCTACGACTTCGCAGCCTGTCCGACCTATCCACCACCCGTCACTCTGGTCCCTGCTCTGATCCAGGTCCTACACAGGCCGCCGTACACACACCCCTATAACTACACGACCACATTCAACTTCGTAACATCTCCAAAGGTCTTTAAGCTACCGTGATAAATGACCATTATTCCACTTATCCTCCCATATAATAATAAACCCCGAAAAAAAATGTTACATTCTAAACAATCTTTTTCCAAAGTTAGTTGAATGACTTAACTAAACCTTGTCAACCCGAATAATAATGTGGTACTTAATGACACAATAATTATGTCGTGTTCAAAGTATACACCCGATATAAGGTAATATGAAAATCTTAAAAGGAGCTGGTTTCACCGAGGGTCCCGCAATAAATCTGCGGTGTAATAAATTCCCTGTTAAACAAACACTACTTTTATTATCTTACACTAAACCGGCTTTTGTATTAACAAAAGTAGGACGTCAGACGTTTCGTCCCTGACACCTGTGTGTGTGTGTGTGCGTGTGTGTAGTGTGTGTGTGTGTGTGTGTGTGTTGTGTGTGTGTGTTTGTGGTGTGTGTGTGTGTGTGTTGTGTGTTTGTGTGTGTGTGTGTGTGTTGTGTGTGTGTGTGTGTGGTGTGTGTGTGTGTGTGCTGTGTGTGTGTGTG